AAAAAAAAAAAGACATCACAAGACTGACAAAATGGACTTTTTGTGACCATAACATAACCAATTATAAACAGGATCTATGGCCGTGCCAGACGAAGGTGAACTTACACACCCCTACAAGCAACTCTGACCCGGTATAGTGGTTAACAGACTTCCTTCTCTTAAACATTCCTTTCTGCCGACTCCAAATTTTTAGACAAAGCTTTACGCCTCTAACCAATTGCAAATTAAAGAATCTCTGAATCCACGTATAACCTGTAAGTCCCGGCTTCAAGATGTGCCGCCTTTTCCGGCCAAACCACTTATACAGCTTCCATGCTTTGAGTTGTGCCTTTGTCTATAACTCCTGTCTCCCCTAAAATGCATAAAACCAAACTTTAATCTGACTACCATGGAGACACCTTCTCAGGACCTCTTGAGACTATGTTCCCCAGGCCAGGGTCTCTTACACTGGCTCAGAATAAACCTTAAAATATATTACAGAGCTTGGTTTTCCTATTCACACCTCGGTTCCACAATCCTCACCATGCCCTGAGATGTTACACTCTGCCACGTGACTCCCTGAGGGTCCCACTTAATCCTTGTAGGCACCAGAGTTTACAACTCCTGGTCTATAACATCTTCCTAGCTGGTTTGGGGTAGGGGGGTGGCGCAGTGGGGAGAGCTTTTTAAGATCTTATGAAAGTTGTGGATCCTCTCTCCGGAAAATTGCACACACACAGAGATGTGTAACATTTAGAAAATAATTTTAGTGGTTCTCAGATCTTTGAAGGTCCATACTTGAGCCCCAGATTAAGAACATCTGGTCTTTAAAGCCTTCAGAAAAGACCAGCAGGAAGAACATCAGGCAGGTTGCCGTGGTTACACCTCCTCTTAGGCTGGCCTAGGGCTGAGGCATGGCCTTATTATCCCTGTCTTTGCTGCACACACCTTCACAGGGAGGGCCTCATCGCTCACTCTTCCATTGTGCGCTCAAGGGCTTAAGAGCCAGATTGTCATCCCACCTTCAGGTCTCCTGGCCCTGGGGTTGCAGCCGGGCTCAGGGCTTGAAAGCAAACTCCAATCCCATCTCTCCTCTGCCCCGCTCTCTGCTCCAGCCAGTGTGAGCTACGTATACCCCTCAGAGGCACCAGACTCCCTCTTCTCCTGGCATTTTGCCCAGCTACTGCCAGGAACACTCTTCTCCTTCCCATCCTTGGCCTGCTCAGTGCCTACTTTGGGACTGAGCTGAGGCATCACCTCCTCCAGGAAGACTTCCTGCAGCCCTCCTACAGGTGTTGGGCTCATTGATGTCCTGGCACTTACCACCCTCCATAGTCATTGCCTGTTTGTTTTCTCCTTTATACTGGGACCTCTGATACCAGAGACATTCTATTTACTATTATACAAGCCCAGCTCCCAAAACAGAGCAGATACTGATAAATATTTGAAGGATTAATACATTTAACTCAGTGGTTCTCAAAGTGG